GGGAGAAGACAAAATTTTAAATGTCATCTAGAATACAGAGTCTGATCTCAGTCGTTCTAAAGTCACAGGCTGTTATGAAATGTGTTCTACAGAAATAATAAACTTGGTGTGTAGCATTCTCTTTGTGATATCTTTTTTACATTTAGAGTGCTTCTGCAAGTTAACAACCCAGAGCAGGAAGAAGGAAGCCACTCACAGAGGTGCACAAGTGTCCCCCAGACATCCCCTTTGTCACAAAGACACATATGGGGAGGAAGAGATATGTATGTGTGCGCACATGCGTGTATGAGTGCATGTGTGTGTGTATGTGTGTGTGGTGTGTCTGTGTGTCTCAGTACCTTTCTTAATTACTCTCCACCTTAGTTTTTAGAAAGGGTCTCTCACTAAACTGGCCATTCTACAGTGGACTACACTGGCTAGCCAGGACCACTGAGATCCTGGGTTCTACCTGTCTCCATCCCTCCAGCACTGAGATTACAGAGCTTCACTTGACCATATCTAGCTTTCTGGTGTGGGTGCTGGAGATCTGAACTCGGATCCTTATGCTCACACAACACGTGCTTTAGACTGAGCCATCTTTGCAGTCTCCTCCTAAGAAGATTTTAATGTCGGAGCATATTTGTTAAATTTCATCTAGAAATAGCTCTCTCCGAGTCCTATGATAAGTATGCAGTTACTGAATTGAAATGATCTACCCTTTGAGAAGAACACAAGGCCAGTGCTCTGAGACCACAGAAGAAAAGTTCACATATGACACATAACTAAGAAGGAGAAATGGAGAGATAGGAAGGTAATCATTATCCTAAGGTGGATGCCCAGGCACTCAGAGAATCGAGGCATCTGCCTTCCATATGATCCAGAAGTAAAAGGGGGCCTATAAGGTCTCCTTGAAAAGACAGTTAATGACGACTTCAGAAAATCAAAATGCATCCCAAGGAAAGTCTGAGGTAGGAATGATGGTTGGACGTTTTTGAGTGATTTTTACATACCAGACACTGTTTTAGTTGCTTTCTTTGTGTTGACATCTTTAGTCACAATGTCAATAAGAACTTTTGGCACCTGAAGAGCAGGGAGTCAGGAGGGCTTGTTAGAACTAAACTGAACTGTAACACACCAAGTGAATAACCCGAGAATTGGAAGACTGCTTGCTATGGAAAACATACCATGCATGTACACACACACACACACACACACACACACACACACACACACATGCATGTACATATATGTACCACGCGTCCCTCCCCCTTCCCTCCCTCTCTCTCTCTCTCACACACACACACAATCACCACATGCATGCACATATATGTACCACACCTCCCTCCCCTTACACACACACACACACATGCACGCATGCGCACACACATGCACAATAGCAAGGTGTGAACACAGGAGAGTTTCCTAGAATAAGGCACACATTTCCCATCCTTTACTTGTTGCTGGTCCTCTTGGCCACCCGTGAACAGGTTCCAGTCAGTTTCTCAAGAGAGAAAGTATTTTGGTGTCCCAGTGAATTAAAAGGAAGTTCCTGGGGCTTTCAGCCATTTTTATCCCACCTGCTACCACACGAAGGTAGCTAAAGAGTGTGAGCCTGCTTCCTCCAGGCTCTGAACAGTCAGCATGTCCCAACCCATGTCCCAGCCTCTGACAGCATGCAGTTTCTGTGGAGGGGACTTTGTAAGAATAGTAACAACCTCTAAGAACCTTCTGCTTGATGGAATGGTGCCACCAACAGATTTTGAGTTCAATGTGTCTTAGACTGGTCAAACCAAGAGTCTTAGGTGAGGACTGGTCATCTAGGAGCTCTGTCAAGTTCCTTCCATGGAGCTAAGAACTGGACAGCCAGAAAAGGCAGAGGACCAAAACTCAAACAGAAAGTGGCAGGTGCCAAGAAAGGGAAGGCAACAGATGTAGAGAAAACAAAAGCTGCAGACTTGGAGAGCAGAGACAGTCGAGGGCAGAGATGGAAAGGGCAGAAGCAACAAACTTTACCCAGAGAAGGTTATCTGACTCCTCTTGGGACGTGAGGGGCCCCAGAGCTGGAAGTCTATCCACCAGGGGTCTCTAGGGTGGGTATTTCATAGGATCCTGGTGCTTTCCTCTGCCCTGACTCCCTCCTTTCTCCCTCATTGGTTCACCTGGGCATCCTTTCTTGGGATGGCTCTGTTGGCTTTTCTAACACTCACAAAAAATGGAAAAGTCTTCAGGAACAAGCAGCTTCTGGGGATTCAAATGTAGTCACCTTACCTCAGTTCCCCATGACCCCTCTAGCTCAGCTCCCGAAAACCCCTCCTCAAAAGCATTAAGCAGAATTTCAGAAGGAATATCAAAACATTCTAAGCATTGACATCTGAAGTAAACAAATCTGGCTTTCAATGTTAGAATGTCCTGCCATTTATTAGCTTTGTGGTTTGGGGCAAGTTAGCTTACTTTTTCTAGCTTGTTGTCCCTCCTAGGTGGTCATTCAACCATGTTGTCCTGGGCCCACCAAAGTATGTACCAATTATCTCCTTAAATGTTGCTCTGAGAAAACCCTAGTTTGGAAAACAGCTCCATGATCTCTTTATGATGCTGTGAAATGGAAAAAAAAGTCACACTGAAAGGTGTTGGGCATAATATATTGTGACTGTCACTACGCTGACCCTCCATGTGGAAATGTTCTGCATATACTCATTACCTCTCTGTCCACTTGCTTGGATCCCTCACACAATAACTGCAACAAATTTTGAAGATTCATCCCAAGAAAAGATGATTAAAATGCCTCATCACTAATTTCATGCTGATGGCATAACCATTATGATCAAAATGACAGCACTTGGTCATATACAATTAAACAAAATATTGCTTTAAAATCAATTGTATGTTTCTTTTTACCTATTACTAGTGTGGCTACTTTAAAGGGGTAAACTCAAGGATTAGAGGTGTAACTCAGTGGCAGAGTCTATACTAACATGCCCTGAGTTCAGTCCTCAACACCAAGAGATTTTCACTTTTATTCTTCTCGCACATGTTACATCCTGACTCAGTTTCCTTCCCTCCACTCTTCCTAGTCCTTCCTCCCCCACCCCACCCCGTCCTTCAGAAAAGGGCAGATCTCCCAGGGTTGCCATCCAAGCATGACATATCAAGTTGCCCCCCTCATATTAAGGCTGGACAAGGCAGCCCATCAGAAGGAAAAGGGTCCCAAAAGCAGGCAAAGGAGTCAGGGGAAGCTACTGCTCCCACTGTTCGGGGTCCCACAAGAGGACCAAGCTACATGACCATAGTATAAATGCAGAGAACCTAGGTCAGACCCATGCAGGCTCCCTGATTGTCGGTTCAGGACCTATGAGCCCCTATGAACCCTGGTTAGTCCATTCTGGAGGTTTTCTTGTGGTATCCTTGATACCTCTAGCTCCTGCAAGCCCCCCCACACTTCCACAATATTCCCCCAAGCTCTGCCTAATGACACCAAGAGATTTTAAGACAGTAAAGTGATTTTTAAAATGTATAATTGCATATGTGGCTTGGTTTATATTTCTGCTGATTGACAGATTTAAATGATTCATTGATGTGTCTACTATTCTCCCCATCCTACCAGCAGCATCCCACATCCCTTCACCATGAGAATACTTCCCTCCAAACCTCAAGGAAAGAAATGAATATATTTATCAGTGTGTTTTAAAACTCTTTTCTGGATATTGAAAGGTTAAAGGGCCATAAACTAAGGGGCAAAATGAAATTGATCTGCATCATGGCTCACCAAAGATAGCATCTCCTTGGGAATAGAAACACTGACCTTGAGTGCATTGGAAAAGCTGAAAATCTGAGCCAATACTGGAATGTGTCCATGTTGGCCAGAAGGGGATTTGAGATGCCAGAAAAGATACAGTAGTCTCAGCCATTCGCTTGCTTTGTCTCTCTTTGTCTCTCTCTGTCTCTGTCTCTGTGATTTCCTAAGTCTTGAGAACACTAATACAATGTCTCAGGTCACTAGGAAGGGGGAGATCCTTCTCACACCCCATCGGCACTGTTGCTGCAAAAGAAATATTCTCATGGCACAAAAAAACTCACCCACGATACCTCTCCAGTATCTTTCCTCCTTGAAACAGCTTGATTCCCAGATATGCCCTGATATTGATGTCACTCAGTAAAACACAAGGAGTCAATTCAATCCAAAACAATAATAAACTAAACTGATGGCTGCAGTGGCATTCAACTAAGTAGGGAAAACAAATGTCCAATTAGGATATGCTAGCCCTGGAGTTTTGACATTCTCACGAGATGCTTAGTTTTCAAGAATAAATAGGAGGGGGAAAGTGAGGTGGAGACCAACACAAGCAGTAAAGATTTAGAAAAACTGGCAGGAAACCTCTGCATCTAAGCCCGTGCTGATGTTTAGATATTCACAGATCTGCTCTGTGAGTGAGTGTAGCCTTCTACTGCCATTGAAACACACATTCACATTGGGGACCAGGATTCCTTTTTCTATGTTCTCTTTTTAAGGGTTTACAAACAGCAAATTCTCAAAGTTTGTAGTAATTGTAAGGATATAAGATAAAAATGCATTGCATATCTGAACAATATGCATTCTTCTTATGTTTCATACTTACTAACTCACTGATAGATCTTTAATCTAGAAGAACCTGTTGGCTGAACTTGTAAAGACATCTATCAACTCTGTCACAGAGGTAAAAGAAAGACTGGAGCTTTGCTATCAACCCAAATTGAGTCTTAGTTGATGCATGGGGTTTTCTCATCTCTTCCAGGTGTTTCTGCACCAGGCATAAACACTGACATCACTCCCCAGCAGGGCACTGCCTTTCTGGACGGCCCTGCAGTTTGTAAAGAAAGGAACGACAACATGAAAAGTGTGGGTTGAATAAATCTAATCTTAATGCCTTCCATAAGATGGTTCGTGTCTGAGCTTCCTCAGCCCTCACCAACACAGTCCTCCACCCACCTCAGCCCACGGTCAAATGACTCCTCTTTGATGAGGAGCCAAGGCAATGGCAGAAGCCATGGCCTGAAACAATAGCGTCTGAGATGGAAGCGAAACAGCAAGGTCCTCACTTTCCCTCAGTAACCACAACAACTGGAGGAGATTCTGGCCTGAGTGATGAATCTGCAACCAAATGGTACCCAGATGGCAACTACAGCTGCTCTTTCTACCAGCCGCACCTCAGCTCATCCATCTTCAGGACACACCCATGGCTGAGGAGGAGTGAGAAACTGAGTTGACAGAGCCATCAGAGAATCTCTTTTGCCTTCTGCATTCTTTTCCTTCGATCATGTTCCTTGGGCTTCAGGCTTCTTGTTCTCACCTTCATGCTGCCTCTGTGATGACACAGAAATGCTGCCTGCGAACCAGGGTGAGTAATGGTCCCAGGCCCCGGGGGAATGCACAATGCCTAGTGTATTGGGTTCGGGAGGAAGGGCAGAGGAAGGTGAAAATGTGGTTCAAAATGACTGGGTAGGAAAAAGACCTTGTGGAGCCTGCAAGTACCCAAGGAGCATCTGAGCATTCATACCTATCCTCCAATTAAGCCTGAGGCTCATGACAGCACAGCATTCTAGAATTCATTGTTCAAACAGATTCCTATCCAGAGGGCTGTTAAGCCACTGACCACTTTAAAGCTAATCAGGGAAAACAGAAGACACTGGACACATTTAACAAATGGCATTAAGCTTCTGTGTCACCTTCATGACCTGGGATTTACAAGGGGATTTCACTGGCTTTGTAGCAATGTAACATAGGCATTAGATGTTGATGAGGAAAACAAAATTACTGCCAAAGGTGAGCAAAGTTTGGCAAAGAGGAACCGAGCAACTCAGAGCCTTCAGGATTCACTGCACAAGCCCTTCATGGCACTCAGAAGGAAGGCACAGAGGCACGGTGGTTTCCTGTTAAGAAACAACACTTTCAGGATTTGCATGATTCCTCAGGAAGGCACAAATGTGGCCCTTTGTCTCGTGGTCTTATTGTTCTATTCAGCTCTCCAGACAGCTGAATGGACAGTCTTTCTTTTAATCCATACAGACTACCCAGGTCTAAAGACTTTCTGTTAATCCACACAGACTACCCAGGTGTAAAGACTTTCTGTTAATCCACACAGACTACCCAGGTCTAACAGACTTTCTGTAAATCCACACAGACTACCCAGGTCTAAAGACTTTCTGTTAATCCACACAGACTACCCAGGTCTAACAGACTTTCTGTAAATCCACACAGACTACCCAGGTGTAAAGACTTTCTGTTAATCCACACAGACTACCCAGGTCTAACAGACTTTCTAGCCAAGGCATCCGTCTTTTGCTTGGAACCCTAGCACATCAGTACAGTTACCTTAGCCACCAACTGTTCACCAAAACATTCAGCTGTTTGTTATATAAGAGAAGGAAGGCTTTGCTTTCTGTGGGTGGGTGGCAGTGGCACTGTGGAAGCAGGGAGCCCTGTCCCCTGAAATGTTGCTGTCCCTGCAGTTTGCAGAAATGGACCGCTCCACCACTGTGTGGGAGGCCAAGTTCATTTGTCTTCTCTAGCTAAAGCCTTTTCTAATGAACTCAGATAGCAGAAAGTATTTTCAGGTGTGAAGGAAAGTATATTTGCGCACTGCAAAGCACTCACACTGTGGAGTACTGTAACTGTAAAGCCCTCCTAAGCTAGAGCAGAGAGGCCCACCAGAAAGTTGAATAAGAGTGGTAGACATGGATTCTAATGAACAGACCCTTTTTTCTTGCAATTGTTCCCCTCATAAGGTCTCAAGTATGTTCACAGGCAGCCAGGTGTGGAACAATAGAGCCTGTGGGTGGTACTTGTGTCCATGTAGGAATTTTGAAAGACAGGAAGAAAACTCAACTGTATTGAAGAAGATGGTACAGCGCAAGGGATAGCCCAGCACGCTGGTGACCTCAGGGTCCAGCCTTGCTGGAGGAAGTAAGTCGCGGGGGATGGACCTTGAGACATGATAGTCCAACACCATTTCCTATTCTCTCTACTTCCTGGAAGTAGAGACATGATAGCCCAACACCATTTCCTATTCTCTCTACTTCCTGGAAGCTGATGCATCGTGATCAGACAGCATCTTGCTCCTTCTACCACGTCTTCCCCACCATGAGGAATAGATCCCTTAAACGGATGGCCAGAATACCCATCTCAAATCACTTCTTGTTGGGTCTTTGGTCGTGGCAACAGGAAGCATAAGTAGCACAGCTCCAAGGAGTATTGCGAGAGTCTGCTGAGGGCATGATCAATAGGGCAGGGTGAGCCTCAGCTAACAAGGGTCGAGGGAACAGAGTGGATTCTGATTGGTAGGTAGGAACAAACTGGATTCTGATTGGCCTAATTCCCTCAAGCAGGGTAGGGCCATGTAAAGACCACTCAATCAAGGACCGCTCATCTACCTAACCTCAGGTTTTCAGGCAAGTCACTTGTCCCCAAGCTGTTACTTCCTCCACAGGAAAACTCCCACATCAACCATGTTGTTAGTGCAAAGATTAAGTACCAGGGTTAGGGGAGGACACTTCCAAAGTTTTAAAACCCCATTAAAAAGGTAATTAACTTCATTCCAATAGAGAGTTGACATTCGTATATGCAATGGATTAATGGAAAACCTTTATCACTACTACACCAATCTTCAATACTGCTAGCCTTTCTTTGGGTGTTAAGAAGGCATCTTAGGAAGCAGGAGAACCTTCCAGTTACAGAGGTGTTGTATGAATTAGATTGCAGTTACAGGTCCTGATATGTGTGTATTCAAATATGGATCATCAATAGTTATTACATCCCATTGTACACTTACCCCCCCAAATGTTATATAAGAGATAGATGTACCCACTGAAAACCTTTGTTAACTTGAAGAATTCTGAATGGCACTGAAAGAACAGAGTAAAAGGACACAGTTCTGCAGAATAGCCAGATATGCTTGGATACATTTGACTAAGGATGCCCTTCACTCAAGACACTTTGTTTCTATCTGCTGTTGACACCTTGTTTCTATCTGCTGTTGAATTATTGGGTACAATTTATTAAGGGTGCCCTTCACTAAAGACACTTTGTTTCCATCTGCTGTTGTGTTATTGGATACAATTGGTTAAGGGTTCCCTTCACTCAATACACTGTTTCCATCTGCTGTCCTGTTATCATTATATAATGTTGCCTAGAAAACCACGTAATAAATATAAAAATCTTGACTATCTACAGTGTGACTGGAACTCTTTTGAACCTTTGTTCCCAACCATTCCTGACAACCTGAGACATTTTGTTTTATACCTCTGTTTTATGTTATTGATTTTACAGAATTTATGGACTACCATGTGCAGTTTGTAAAGCATCTAACACAGACTAGTGGTGAGATGGGTGGTGTCTCTAGGACCCAGTGTGAATGTAAATGCGATAGAGCCTAAACCGAATGTCTAAACATGAATGGAGGCTCAGAGGATTCCTTTCTGCTTTGTTTCTCTTAACATTTACTATGTAATTTGGTCTCTCTCGCTTAACCCTTTCACACCCTCTTACATCATCCATAACCACAACAGTTACAGTTTAATGAAAGCACTTAGAGTGTCTGTAATCTGTGTATAATAAATCTGCCTTTTGTGAAATGGATCCATGAGTTTTAAGTAATATACTTAATCTGTTAGTATATGAATGCCATATTAAATTAAGAATGGGTTCTGGGGATCTGATCAGGCAAAAGAATGTTCTCTATTCCTGCTTATATTGTTAAACATCACTCCAATATTTTAAACAAATATTAAAGTATTTTGGTAATGGAAACTATCCAACAGTCCACTGAAAGGGGACTTTTTAAATATTTATTGGAGAACTATAAAGTTATTTAAATGATGAGTCAAATGCATATACTATTTAGGAAAAAACGCTAAAGGACCAGGCAGCATAGGATGCTAGCTAAAATGGATGATGATATAGGATGGATGGACAGACATTCAGAATGACTAACAAGATAAAGCCAGAATGGGGAGCAGAATGTATCTCAGTGGTGATGCAGAGCTAGCTTGAATGTGTATGATTTTCTTTTTCCTGCTTGTCTGTATATGCTTTTGATGAACTTAAATAGCAGCCATGACATTGCTATAGTTTAGGGTTTTTTTGGGGGGGGGTTGAAAGGCTGTGCCAGGAAAGTTTCTGACTGCCACACACACACACACACACACACACACACACACACACACACACACACAGAGCTGTACTGGGAATTGAAATTGGAAGAGGGCCTCTGAGCATCACAAAGAAGACTGAACTCTGATTTTAAACAGGAGGCAACCACTAGATTCACAATGGATAGGGTTCTTAGAACCCAGGGGAAATCACAGAGTAGACTTGGAATTTACAGTTGATATTAGCTTCCCTCTTCATCATTTCCTCCCAGATAATTGAAGGCCAAGCAGGAGGAGGATGGGAAAGTCATACCTATGGTCTCTAGCACTAGGGCTGCAAGTGGGGGAATATAGCTGTGAGAGCTGTGAGTGTAGCCAAACACAAAATCATAAACATATTTTTAAAACTACTGATTTTTTTAAATTAATAGCAAATCAACTATGTGGCTCTCAAGTGTGAACTTAGAAGATGACAACATTGTGCCACAATGAGTAAATATCGGACATACTTACTAGGAGACAGCAGCCCAGTTCAAGCTTGCCTCCCTCTAGGGTAGCTCTATTTATCTGTGAGTCTGTGTGTACACACCAAGCCAGTTAACATTTTTCTGAGTCTGTGTGTACATACCAAGACTGTTAACATTCTCACTTCTGCTTTAACTACAAGGAACAGGAAGTTCCTGCTGTGATTCAAATGGGAAATATCCTCTTAGGGCTCGTGTGTTTGAACACTTTGTCTCCATCTGGGGTGCTATCTTAGAAAGCATAGACTAAATGGAAGAATGTACTTCTGGGAGATTGGTTTCATGGAATAAACCACTGCCCACATCTGTTCCTCCCTTTATTGCTTTCTTCCTTCATAGATAGGTAGGTAGATAGATAGATAGATAGATAGATAGATAATAGATAGATAGATGATGATGATAGATAGATAGATAGATAGATAGATAGATGAATGATAGATAATAAAGGTAGGTAGATGGATGAGTGGATGGATAGATGGATGATAGATAATAAAGGTAGGTAGATGGATGAGTGGATGGATCTATGGATGGATCAATGAATTGATCTATGGATGGATCAATGTATTGATGGGTGAATGAGCAGACTATAGACATCCTTCCTGATCCATGCTGTAGCAAGTGAGGACAACTGTGTCATTCACAGAACCAATGGTTCTGAGAGCAACCATCCCATCACTCATTCAGTGAACAGTTCTATTGCCACATGGGGAAACCACCACAAGGATAAC